TGTTGTATGGACCATGAATGGCATGGTGGTGTAGAACTCCATGTCCTGTGATGGCAGCACACATTGTGATGTTTCCCCCACGTACGCCAGGAACATTCACAATAGCTCTGTGACCTATTATGTTTCTTCCCCTTCTTAGGTTTATGTTTAGTACTGGAGAAATGCAGCATTATATGTAGTGTCCTGTAGTCTAATAGTTACCTGCACGTAATTGTGCCTCAGTTCTTTGACTCTTTCGGAGTTCCTCTCAAAAGGCACCCGGTATATCTGTTTCATTCGTACCTGGTGTCGCTGGAGAACACGAGCGAGGGTAGACAAGGCAACTTGCCTAATGTTGCCAAAAACTGTGTCGGTGGCTTTGAATTTCCCTAAGTCTTATGGCATTATTGGCCAAAACCATGTTTATGATCTCTACCTCCTGTGCCTAGGTGAACATCCGACCTCTTCCACCACGTCCTACTTGTCTCTCAGTCCTTGGAGAAGACAACAATGTATATATTGGTATGCAGCCTCTCTTGTTTATAATGAAGATTATGCAGTAGTATTGTATAAGTAAAGAACACATACACGTATACTGTAAATTATAGAATGCAGTATTAGCCTACTGTATATACAATATACATAGATACTTTGAATTGCTGTATATATACAGAGTGGGTGTTACAGAACATACCTGTTCTCAAGCCGAAATGTACAGATGACAGAAGCAACAGTAAATCGACTCAGGTTGGGTTGGATCCTCTGTCCAGCCTCTCATTGTCAATCCATGATTTATAACATGGTCAACTAATGTTGCCCGAATTTCATTGGAGTGCTTGTCTTCTTTGTCTTTGTCCTCTTTCACCTCTCTGTGCACCCCTACCCCTACCTCTTCCTCTTCCTCCACCTCCACCTCTTACGCGTCCTCTACCTCTAATGTCTATTCCTCTCCCTCCGGCTTCCATTGTTCTTTAGTGTTGGTAAATCTGTGGAGATTTATAGTTCTCACATTCTGATTTCTGAGTTAACTAATAAGCAGTCAAGTGCTTGACCAGGTGACGTTTGTGTTAGCCTAATGGGTACATGGGTGTGGCTTTCTGAATGGGTGTGTTTGGAAATGGCTAAAAGTGTCTTGGTGTCAGATTCCTGTGTTTTCTGTAGGAAAGTGTGTGCACTCTAATGCAAAAGAAGTCAAGTTAATTGCTTATTGTGTTCAAAGGTGTGATTTGTGTTTTGAATATAACAAATGTTAGGAGAAATTTTGCTCTCTGAGTGCCAGTTTTTGCAGTTGAGCTTTACATTAGATTTTAGTGTGTTAGCAATTGGAAAAAACTGTAAGACAAAGTGGAGTATATGGGTTATTCTTACAATTTCATTATCATGACATATAAATTTTGTGTCATTTTAAAATTGAAAACTTAAATTTTACCCCCTAGTAACCATTTTTTTCCCTAGAAGTGAATGTTGAAGAATGTTGAATCTTGA